CACTCAATTACATCTCCTCCGGACTTTCATTATCATCTTTTTTTGTCTGTTATTTAATAATTACCTGCCTTTCCACAATTTTTTTTTAATCTTTTCCTGTACCTTTTCACCTGCCGTTGTATTTGCTTAAAACATTGCCTACCTTTTCGTGAAAAATGAAAGAAGGATTGTACCCAGGCCTGGAAGACATACTTCCAGGCACACTTAAGGGAAAAAGGGGAGGAGATAACAGGGGTAGTTATCTCAAGAATGGGTATGGAGCTGTTCACCATTTTACTTTTAACAAGAATTGAAATTCTTCGTTAATGGTTTTAAACTTTTTAAATGTTAAATTCCATAATAGTTCTAACAGTTCAGTTCTCTATTAATTAGCTTATTTCCACAACAATATGAATAAGCTGCATCCATAGAAGAGAAGTGATGCCAAAGAACTGGTAGGCAGCCCCTGCTGGTCATTTTTACTTAAAGGGAGATGAAGCAAATTCTGGAAACAGTGGACTGTCAGCTTAACACTAATCACAGGAAGGATACGTGAATCTACACCCACTGAAGTGATAGAAAAGCATGAAGTGACAGATGCAGAATAACAAATATGGATTCTGAAAGACTAAGTCATGTTCAACTAATGCGATCAAATTCTTTGAAGAGGCAAAGGAAAGTGTAGACAAAGGAAATTAAATGGATGTCAAAGACTGGTTTTTCAAATTATTTTATAAGGAACAACATATGCTCATGACAAAGTATAGGGCATGTAGAGTTAGAGGAAATGTAAGTGACTGAGTATCAAATCAGCTGGAAAGTACAGAGGAGATGGTAGTCATCTAGATTGGAGGACGATAAAGCATAGTGTTCCTCAAGGATCTGTACCAGGAATACTGTTATTCATAACTGACATTGGGATAGTGGATATGGGAGATTATAGATAAAACTGCAACAAATCACAAGATTATGCATAAATTGCACTCTCTAATACTACACTTTTCACTGTATTTTGTGACAAGATACACATGACAATAAATAAACCAAATTAAATCAAAGATAACTATGTGCTCTGGGCAGTGGCAAATGAACTTTAACCTAGATAAATGTGAGGTGTTGGACTTGGTAGGAAACATCATCTCTACTGCAGGAAAAATTCAGAAATGAAGTGGCATAGACTAGCAAAAGGACCTAGGGATACAAGTGAACAAGTCCATGAAACCATTATTGCAGGTCAGGAAACAAATGACAATGCAAACAAAGCACTGGGATTTATTTCTAAGGGGGACAAAATTCAGACATAGTGAAGTTATGGGGTGTTGGCTTGCGTGCTGAGCTGGCTTGTTCTCGTTCAGACGTTTCGTCACCATGCTAGGTAACATCATCAGTGAGGCCTCCAATGAAGCGATGTTGTTCTATTCCACTTGGAACTTATACTGTCCAGTCCGTTATGGTGAGTAGTGTCATTTCCGGTTTTGTTCTGTATGGGTTTGTATGTGGGGTCCAATTTTATATGTTTGTTGATTGCATTATTGGTTCAGAGCCATGCCTCTAGGAATTCCCGCTTGTGTTATGTTTGGCTTGATTAGACCATAATAGCCCAAACCAAACATAGACATGCACGGGAATTCCTAGAGGCATAGTTCTCAATCAACAAACATATAAAATTGGACCCCATACACAAACCCGTATGGAACAAAACCAGAAATGACAGTACTCACCATAACGGGCCAGACAGTATAAATTCCAAGCAGAGTAGAATAACATCATTTCATTGGAGGCTCCACTGACGATATTACCTAGCATGGTGACCAAACGTCTGAATGAGAACAAGCCAGCTCAGCGAGTAAGCCAACAACCTCACCCACAACCCGAGCTACAAATCTTTGCTAAAACCTTAAAGTAGTGTTGTTATGTTAAATGTGTATAGGACACTGGTCAGTCCACACTTGAAAGTAAAAGCTAAATACTCTGGATGCTGAAAATCTGGTACTTCGAAACTTT